ATCAAGAGAGATGGTCACCATGGAAGCAAACATGAGGGGCATTGTTAGCCAAAACATGGCTATCAGGGAACTCATGGCCCAAATGCAAGGCCAGGGAGGCTTCCCTATTCCTCCCTATGTCCCCAAGGGTACTACCAGCAAGAAAATGAGGTTCAAAGTCAAAGGAGTGCCTCGCTAGACTATAGCTGAGGTAGAAGCCCCATTGAAAGGAAAGTGGAAGTTGATGTTTCTTCCAACTACGCTTTTGGCTGACCCAACGAGACCCCTTTGAACCAGGACAACTTTCTACCTCCGTATGAGCAAGAACGAAGACCTATGAGGTCAGACAGTGTATTTGACAGAAGCGGCTTGTGGAACCAAGGCATATGCAACAGTCTCGCGAGCTTTGGACAAGACCACAGCCCCCACTTCCAATAACCCAACAGCCAGAGGAAAGGCATGAAAATGTCCCTCGTGCTACTCCCCCTAGAAATAGGCGTCAAAAGAGGGAAGAGGAGGCTAGGAACCTTCCCGTCACCTCTCACCAACCGCCAAGATATGAGGCCGATGAAAACAATGATTCGGATGAACAGCAGAGGTCCTGTGACTTGGACGATAACGTTGAAAATCTACCGTTCTCAAAGGAACTAAGGAGTGCTCAGGTTTCGAGCCACTGTATTCTGCCCAAGATACTAAAGTATGACGGGAGAGACGACCTAGAGAAGCATCTGAATGCTTACAAAACTCACGTGAGCCTAAGGGGCGCCACCCCAGCAATGAAATGCAGAGCTTTCCACTTAACACTTAGTAGAGCGGCTAAAATTTGGTATAGTAGGCTACCACCTGGGAGCATAAGGAGTTGGCATGAATTCAAGACTACCTTCTTGAAGAGGTTTGCTATGAGCAAAGAGGGATCCCATCCAACGTTTCCAAGACATGAGACAGGTACATGGAGAGTCCCTAAAAAGCTTTTTATCACGCTTCACTGACGAGATAACATACTGTGTGCAAGTCACCAACCGTGAGGCATTATCCGTACTGAAAGGAGGTCTGAATATGAACACTGTTTTGGAAGGACGTACAAAACCAAGACCCTGTTACCTATGACGCCCTACTTGAGATGATGAGACAGGAGATTATCAATGAATAATTGATTGAGCATAGGAATAGGGCAAGCACAGGCCTCCCCCCTCCACAAAGACAGCTTGCCAGAGGGTCGACCTCCCACTTGATGGACTACCAGATGAACCAGGCTGGTAATGAGAGTTCTGGGCAAGCACTTGCCACCACCACAGTTAATGCAGTTCCAACCTTGGCATATGAAGATGTCAACCCATTGACAGACACTCAACAAATCGGGATTCCACAAGGTTCTCGCAGGGGAAGAGGTCGAGGCAGAGGTTCAGGGCCTAGGAATAGGTCAAATCTAAACCCCTTGGATACTGCACGTACCATGGATCCTATGGCCATGACACAACAGATTGTCGGGACTATGCTCACCATACCCCACAAGAAAACCCCAGGGATAGGAGAAATAAATCACCCCAGGCGAACAGGCCCCCACCTAGGTATGACCAATGACCTAGGCATGAAGAGGCCGCTCTCCATGAGAGGGATGTTTTCGTGCGACGAAAGGAGCACGATGTAGAGAGACCTAGGAAAGGGTGCAGACACCGAAGAAATCGGTAAGCTCAGGATGAGGCCACTATCCACGAGGTGGATACCATATTTGGAGGCCCATACGTAGGCGATGAAATGTGAAATGCTAAGAGAAATTGCACCCGGGAGGCTAAGAACCCTCCGCTGACCAGTTATGTTGTGGATCACAGCTCCCGGGGGAATCAAATTCCACCCATTGTCTTCACTCAGGAGGACACTGAAAGAATTCACTACCCCCACTGTGATGCACTTGTGATGAGAGTTGTCATAGCCCGGAATGGGCTCAAACGAATGTTAGTTAACAATGGTAGCTCTTCAACATTCTATTTGGGTCCACCTTCGACAAGATAATACTGGACCATGAATTGACGCCCACCTCTACTCCCTTGTATGGATTTACCAGAGACAGCACCACTCCAAGAGAAAACATCAAACTTACGATGGAGATTGGAGAGTCATCCCAAACAACGATGAACTTTATGGAGTTCCTCATTGTTGATAGTCGATCGACTTACCACGGAGTATTGGGCAAGCTAGCTCTAAAGAAATTTGGATTCATCACCTCCATCCACCACCTATGCATGGAATTTTTGATAGAAATAGGGTGGCAACGATGAGAGGCAACCAAAGAGGCTCGAAGGAGTGCTACCTAAGCTCCATCAGAAAGGTTGAGCTCCGGGACATCCATGTGATTATCCCTGACATAGTCATGGCTGATGTCCCAAGTGATGCTCCCTTCGAACGAGAGGATGTGGAGATGATCGACGCACCGCCCAATCCGAAAATATTGGTAATCAATGAGATTGACCCCCGCGTAATTAAACCCGAACCTCAAGCGACCCCAGTCGAGGAACTTGAGAGCTTCTCGATGAACCTTCAAGACCCCACTAAAATCTTGAAAGTGAGCAAAGATTTGTCCAACAGTTTGAAAGAAAAGATCAAGGATTTCCTAAGTAGGAACCTCGATGTCATTGCTCGGAGGCATGAGGACATGGTAGGCATAGACGTCAAAGTCAGTTGCCATCACTTGAAAATTGATCTTAAAGTTGCCCTGCATAGACAAAAGAAAAGAGCTCCCAACCCTAAGAGATATGAGGCCCTGAAGGAAGAAGCTCATTCAAAATGGCTTCGTTAGAGAGGCCACCTATCCGAGGTGGGTCTCCAACCCAGTACTAGTGAAGAAGCACAACAACAAATGGAGGGTATGCATTGATTTCACTAACTTCAACAAAGCATGCCCTAAGGACAACTTTCTACTCCCAAGGATTGACCAACTGGTACTCCACGGTCGGGCACGAGTTGTTGAGCTTCACGGACGCATACTCCGGCTACAACCAAATTCTCGTGCACCAGGCCAATGAGGATAACACCTCTTTTATCACAGACAGAGGCCTTTATTGCTATAAGATGATGCTCTTCGGGTTAAAAAATGCCAGGGTCACATATCAACGGCTCGTCAACAAAATATTTGTGGACCTGGTAAGACGATGGAGGTCTATGTAGACGACATACTTGTAAAGAGTTTGGAATTTGGGGACCACGTAGCGCACTTGAACAACACCTTTCGAATATTGAGAAGGTGCATGATGAGGCTCAACCCCTTCAAGTGTGCTTTCGAAGTTACCTCCAGCAAATTCTTGGGATACATGGTCAACCAATAAGGAATTGAGGCCAACCCGGAGAAAATTGAGGCTCTATGCAAGATGAGGTCCTCCCAAAAGCCAAAGGAAGTCTAAAGCCTGACTGGGTGAGTGGCAGCACTTAGTCGCTTCGTCTCCAAAGCTACCGACAAATACCTTCCATTTTCCAAAGTATTGAAAGCTGGGAAGAAGTTCCAATGGACTGAGAAATGTGAAGAGGCCTTCCAGGGCCTGAAAAGGCACCTAGGCAGGCCTCCCTCCTCTTCAAACCAAAGCCCAGCGAGATTCTTCTGCTGTATTTGGCCGTCTCCAATGAGGCTATTAGTGTGGTTCTAATTCGAGAGGAAGGAACCACACAACTCCCCACGTACTATACGAGTAAGGCACTCCTATCGCCAGAAACTTGCTACCCGATATGGAGAAACTAGCTTTGGCCTTGATCACAGCTTCCAGGAAATTGAGGCCCTACTTCCAAGTTTACACCATCCACGTGCAAACAAATTTTTCCCTGAGGCGCGTACTTCAAAAGCCCGATGCCTCAGAAGGGTTACTGAAATGGGCAGTGGAGCTAAGTCAATTTGACATTGTGTTCAAAGCTAGGGCAGCTATCAAGGGTCAAGCCATAGCTGATTTTGTGGCAGAGTTTGCCAATTTAACCGAGGTGGAAGAAGTTATGGAACCTACCGAGCCTTCCACGTGGAACCTATTCGTGAATGGATCGGTTGGAGATATCGGTCCAGGAGTCGGGGTAGTCCTCATCAGCCCAGAAGGTTACAAGCTAAACTCAACTGTGAGGTTTGGATTCAAGGCCACCAACAATGTAGTGGAATATGAGGCGCTTCTTATGGGCCCTAGAATAGCTTAAGAAATGCAAGTAAGGAGGCTACTTATCAACAGTGACTCCCAGCTAACCAGGTAAATGGAAACTTCTCAGCCACGGACAAAACCATGACCTCCTACTTGAAGATGGTAATGAACCTCATCCCATCTTTTGAGAAATTTAGGTTGACCCAGATCTCTCGCATTGAAAATGCACATGCAGATACACTCTCCAAACTCGCAAGTAGCAAAGACTCTGAACTGTTTACAGTAGTCCTAATCGAACACCTCCTCATACCATCTACCAAGGCCCCCAACGAGATGTCGTTGGTCGAGGCTCCTACCTGGATACAGCCCATCATAGCCTACTTAAAAAATCAGGTACTTCTCACTAATAAGCATGAAGCCTACAAACTAAGGAAGAGGTCAGCTCATTTCTTCTTCATTGATGATGTACTTTACAAGAGGAGCTTCTCCTCCCCACTTCTCCGATGCGTGGGAGGAGAAGAGGCTACCTACATCCTAAGAAAAGTCCACAAGGGTGTTTGCAAAAACCACTCTGGAGGTCTATCTATGGCACAAAAAATATTGAGACAGGGGTATTATTGGCCCACCTTGAAAAAGGATGTCCTCCAATTTGTGTGAAGATGTGACAAATGCCAATGATTCTCTCCTATCCAAAGGTAACTATCACAAGATTTGACCACGGTCTCCAATCCCTAGCCTTTTTCAAAGTGGGGTATGGACCTCATAGGTCCTCTACCAAAAGGCAGAAGAGGCGTAAGCTTTGCAATTGTGGCTATTGATTACTTCACGAAGTGGATTGAGGCTGAACCACTGGCAAAAATCACAGAAGCAAACACGTCCAAGTTCTTGTGGAAGAATATTATATGTCAGTTCGGGATGCCTCACTCAATCATCTCAGACAATGGTAAACAGTTCGATAAAAAGAAGGTCAGAAGTTTGTGTGAAGAACTCGACATTAAGAAGCATTTATCCACACCTCACCACCGGCAAGCAAATAACCAGGTTGAGGCTGTGAAAAAAACCATCAAACATGTCTTGAAAAGGAAATTTGATGTGTCAAAAGGAGCCTGGGTAGATGAGCTGCCACAAGTGCTTTGGGTAGTCCGAACTACTATAAGGACCCCCATAAGGGAAACCACTTTCCTCATGGCATATGGAACCGAGACGAAGAGTTCCGTTGAAGTCGGACTTCCATCACCACGTCATCTGCACTTTAGTGAAATAACAAACGATGAGCATCAGAGGTGCGACCTTGACTTCATTAAGGAAAGAAGAGATGACTCCCAAAAGAAGCTCGCCACCTATCAAAGAAAGATGACAAAGTACTACAACTCGAAGGTGAAGAAGATGTCATTTCAAATCAACGACCAGGTCCTTAGGAGAGTCTTCCTCTCCTCCAAGGAACCAGGCACCGGTACTTTGGTTCGAACTAAGAAGGCCCATACAAAATCAAGGAAAAGATTCGAACTGGGACATATTGGATTGAAGACATGGCCGGCAAGGCACAACCTCATCCATGGAACATTGAGCACCTCCGAATCTATTATCAATAAGTGTACTACCTTGCTAGATGTTCTTTCCTAGCTCATGTAACATTTTTATGATTCAATAAAACTATCCATGATCGAATTCAAGTTTGTTCCACACCACCTCGCACCTCGGAGGAGAGGTCAGGATTGACAGAAGTGAGAGAGCACGCAAAAAAGAGATGGATCCATTGGGTGAGCTGGATAAAGAAAAAGAATTGAGACATTCACTTGCTTTAGATCGAAATTGAGTTGATGTTCAGTGATTTCGTAAACTATTGCCTTGCGAAGAGAAAGAGACTTCAATACCATCCCTTGGCCACCTCGCTTGAACTTCGAAGAGCATGCCACTTGCCTCCCTTTGGCAAGGCTGAACGCAAAGGGGAGAAGCCTCAACATGGATGAACCATCCACAATGTTGGGAAGCATTGTCACCTCGAATGAGAGGTCAAGATCCCATCTCTGGGCCACCTCCCTTGAACTCAGAAGCGCACACCACTTGCCTCCCTTTGGCGAGGCTGAACGCCAAGAGGATCTTCAACATGGATAAACCATGCACCATGTTGGGAAGTGTCCTCACCTCGGAGGAGAGATCAGGATCCCATCTCTGGGCCAACTCACTTGAACTCCGGGGCGCACGCCACTTACCTCCCTTTGGCGAGGCTGAACGCCAAGGAGAGAATCCTCAACATGAATCGAACTCCTTTACCCATTGATTCATGAGGCTCAATCGCTACGAGCTTTACGTAACTACTTCAATTTATTTGGATGTCATAACTTGCTTAAGTACTTCAATTTGTGGAGTCATGGTTCATATGACTTGAGTTATAATTGCAAGTGATTGGAGTTAGGATGTCAAGTTCAAGTTACTACCTGAGTTAGTTATTAGGTCATTCTTAAGTTCAACTACTTAATGAGGCCAATGCATTTGGAAGGAAAACAACATAGAATAAAGATAGATTACATTGATCTTCAATCAACATTACAAAAGGAGGGTCTGAGGCCAGTACATCGAAGTTAACTGAAAAGTAAACTATCCTAAGCCTCGGATGACGGTGGAGGTGCCTCGAGAGCTGGAGCCTCCGCAGCCTAAGCATCAGAACTCCCTTATTCTGCCTCTGCTGCTTTATCACCAACCACTTCATCAGCTGGGCTCTGAGGCACTTCATCCACAAACTTCGACCTCAGTTTTGACAGGTCCTAGTTTGGGTAGAGTTCCTCAGCCTTCTCCATCATTTCGGCATAGGCATAATTTCTCCAGTAGATACTGAAGCGTGTGTACTCCGCGGTGTTATAGAAGTTGGCAATATAGTCCTTCACCTCCTCCTCCTTCACCACCTTGGCCTCCTCCTTTGCTTTTGCCAGCTCATCCATATACCATTTTATTTGGCCCTCCAAGAACTTGTAAGCGTCCTGGGCTCTGGTAAGCTCTAGATTAGCCTTCTCCAAGGCCTCAGCAGTCATCTGTTGGTGGTCATTAGAGACCTCGACTTTCTTAGTAAGGGAAACCACCTCGCACTGGGACTCATACACTTTTTTCTTCAAGGCCTTGATCTGAGTCAAGGCAGACTCCAACTTAGTAGCATCTTCAATCTTCTGAGCCCTTGCTTCCTCTGCCTTTGCCTCTGCCTCTGCCTCAGCCTTAGCCTTCTTCAGCTCCTCTGCAAGGGAGGTCATCTTCTTCTCCGAAGACTGGGTCCTCGTTTGAAAATCAGTAAGGGTTTACTAAGGCCCTGTTAAGTCCATTGCATCGCAGGAAGAGGCATGTAGCTGCCACCAGTCCATCCAGAACTTGTAAAAGCTCTCAGTAGCACTTTGAATCTTGGCTGGCAGTGCCTCCACCAATGACGGGGCCAGGACCTCCTCCCTCCCGGCCAGAAAGCTCGAAGACTTCTCCTACACTCATGCAGGCCTCTGCTTGTCAGCTTCCTCCTCTACCTTTTCAGCTGCCCTCCTTGCATCCTCTTCTCTCGCCTCCTCAGCCTCGGCCTGTCGCACCATTCCAACCTTTATTGCCTTGGAGGCGAACTCTAGAAGCTTTGGCTGAGGGCCATCTCTAGTTTCATGGGACACAGAGGCCCCGAACTTCTCAGATGAGCTGGTGACGTGCACCAGCTTCCTCTTTTTTTGGTCCTCGGGGGACCTTCTCCTTCCCTCGAGGCTCCTTTGCATTCTACGGCATCTAGGAGGTCATCTCTTCGGCACCTCCTGGAACTGCTATCTTTGGATAGCCGCTCCACCTTCCCCTGAACCTCCTTGGCACCACTGGAGCCCGGCTTGAGGGCCCTTACCGTCACAGTTGAGGTGTCCCTAAGGATCGAGGCCATGTCCGAGGCAGGGTACTTGATAAGACATAAAATGTCATGTTTTACATCCATTAATACATTCATTTTTGGTGATAAATGTATGCCTAAATGTACTGAGTACCCTTATATTTTGATTGAGGTCGCAATAGGATGATTATAGCATAAATTAGAGGAAATGAGTGAAGAAGGACCAAAGTGAAAGAAATCAAAAGTTCAAGGATTGAATTGCAATTATCCAAAAGTTGAACCGAGAGACGAACGATGGAATGAAGATTCAAGAGTTCTAGAGGTCAAGTGGATGAAGAAAGAAGTCAAAGAGGTGAAATATAATCAAAATACAATCACACATCAATTTTCGATCGAAAAGGTTATGCATCAATTTTTAGCATCATATTGTGACCTGTTTTCGACATGGTAGACGATCGAATTGGAAGATGACCTCTGAAGCAAAGTTGCATATCTTTGAGTTAGCTTTCCAACGCAACTTGAATCACCTCAATCACACATCAGGAGAGATAGTTATAACTAAAATACTGAAAATTGTCCGACGAAGAAAACTGTATAACCACACAGTCGCATGAACTGGTTCAGAGCATTCTGGAGCCTTTTTTATTGTTCCATGTAGTAGCACGGAAATATACCATGCGGCCACATGGAAGGAATTTGAGGCGCAATTTTTAATTTACTTTTTCCGTCCAACCATGTATGGAAACAAATCTTTTCACCACATAAATACCCTAATTCACCCTAGAACGTAGGAGAACGCCTCCAACACTTCTTTTCTCTCTTTGTGCTCAAGATCTATGATGTGCAACTAATTTCTTTTGCCTGATCGAAGAAGACGGAAGTCTTGGAACAATTATAACTGTGAGATTCACCTGATTTTTATTGATTAATTTATATGCTTAGTATTAAATCTTCTTTTGCAATTATTTTTATGATTGTTGTGTTTAATTTCTAGAGTGCACGCTAGTTTATTAATCTCTACAATCTATAGCTAAGTTGAATTTCAAACTGTAATTGTTGATTGGTTTAACTTATGAAGCAACTAAGATTGATAATTTGCTGAATGGAAATTATTAAATCTTAGGGAGAAGATTTATCCAGATGCAAACGCTTGACTTGTGTTATCTAGTTCATTGATTTCTCTAATTTGCAAAGCCATTATTAAATTAAATTCTCGCGCTTGTCTATGATTGTTTGATAAAGAGGATTAATTCGATCGCTTGTTTCTAATTAATTAAAACTAAGAAGAAATAAGAAAATTGTTTCGAATGAGAAATTTATTTTTCACAATGAATGCTAAAATTATGAATTGATGATTATTTGTGAATCAATGACCGATTTTTAATTTCCAATGGTGGATGTTGAATTAGATCAAGGTTTGTTTTACTGTTTATATTTATTTCGATGATTTATATTATTTCAAGAAAACCAAAACCCCCCATTTTAGTTAATTTAGCATAAAAGATAGACTAAACACTCTTCGTGGGATCGATTCTTTCTTTCACTGCTACATTAATTTTAAAAGGTATAGGTTTTAATTTGGAGTGACCACAGCACGCACCAAATTTTGTCGCTGCTGTCGGGGAGTGATTTAGTTTATTTTTGTGCTTTTTATATGTTTCATTAGTTTTTATTTCCAAAAAAATAAAATCTTTGCTTTGTTCATTTGGTTATTTTATTTTATTTAGTTTAGTTTAGTGTTTTTTTTTTTTATAGCTTCTTTAACTGTTTATGCCCTTAACCCAATCTTCTAACCAAGGTGATTTGCAGTACGATCCAAAAATAGAAAGGACTTTGCGCAGGTTAAGGATTAACATGGCTAGGAATCAAACTTTGAAAGAGCTTGCAGCTCCAGATTTGCATCAACAACCCCTCTACATAACTTTTCCTACATTAGATGCTACCACCACTTTTTAATTAAAATTTGGACTAATATATCTTTTGCCTACTTTTCATGGTCTTGCAGGTGAAGATCCTCACAAGCATTTAAAAGAATCTCATGTAGTATGCACAAGTATGAAACCCACAGGGTTAACTGAAGAGCAAATCAAATTGGGAGATTTTCCATTTTCCCTGAAGGACTCAGCTAAGGACTAGCTCTACTATCTGCCATTTGGAAGTGTCACAATATGGGAGGAAATGAAGAGGTTGTTTTTGGAGAAATATTTCCCAGCTTCAAGGGCAGCAAACATCTGAAAGGCTATTGTGGTGTAATGTAAGACAATAGAGAATCCTTACATGAATATTGGGAGCGTTTCAAGCGACTGTGTGCAAGCTGTCCCCATCATCAAATCAGTGAACAACTTCTCATCCAGTATTTCTAGAAAGGTCTTTTACCCACTGATAGGAGCATGATTGCCGCTGCAAATGGAGGAGCTTTGGTGGATAAAACTCCTGAGGGCGGGAGGAACTTGATTGCAAACATGGCAGCCAATTCTCAACAATTCAGCACTAAACTCGACACCCCTTCTAAACATGTTAATAAGGTAAATGTTTCATCTCTTGAACAACAACTTGCAAGTCTAACTTCCCTTGTTCGTCAAATTGCTGCAGGTAATATGCAAAAGACGAAGGCGTGCGAAATTTGTTCGGTGATGTGGCATCCAACTGACATGTGCCCAACTCTTCAGGAAGGCCCCATTGAACAAGTTAATGCAATGGGCGGCTTTCTTGGACTACCACAAAGGAATTATGATCCTTACTAAAACACTTATAATCCAGGATGGAAGGATCATCCTAATCTTAGCTATGTAAATCAACAAGTGAATCAACCAATGCCTACAAATCGCCCAAACTTCCAGTAATACAGGCAACCATACCCTCCTAGACAACAACAGGACCAAACTTCAAGTTCAGGTATGCCTTTAGACGATTTTGTTAAATCTCTTGCCACTAACACTTTGCAATTTCAACAAGAGACAAGGGCAAGTATTAAAAGTTTGGAGAACCAAATAGGTCAAATGGCAACCTCAATCAATAGGCTGGAAGCACAAGGTTCCGGAAAATTACCTCTCAAACAATGGTTAATCCAAAGGAAAATATAAATGCAATATTGTTGAGGAGTGATAAGAATATTGAAATTCCATAGGCAGCCCCTACATTATTGGAGCAGGAAAAGAAGAAAGATGCCACTGAAGAAAAGATTGTTCCCAATGACGATGGCGCACTTAAACGTAAGTTTTCACCCCTTTCTGAGTTTAAATCGGTATCCCCTTTCCCTCAGGCTTTAGCAGAATCTAGGAAAGATGAACTAAATGATGAACTTTATGAAACCCATAAATGTGAGATAAACATTCCATTGTTAGATGCTATTAAACAACTACCTCGTTATGCTAAGTTGTTGAAGGAATTGTGTACCATTAAAAGAAAACAGAAAATTAAAAGGTGTGAAAATATAAACGTAGGTGAAAATGTCTCTGCAATCATTCAACAAACACTCCCTACAAAGTACAAAGATCCAGGCATGTTTACCAACCCTTACATGATAGGTAACACTAGGTTTGAAAAGACCATGTTAGACTCAGGAGTTTCTATTAATGTCATGCCATACTCTATATACGCTTCTTTAAAACTTGGACCTTTGAATGAAACTGGCGTCAGTGGCATGGTAATTCAATTAGCTGATAAATCTAATGTCTATCCTAAGGGTGTAGTTGAGGATATTCTCGTGAAAATTAATGATTTGGTTTTTCCCGCTGACTTCTATATGCTTGATATGGGATATAGTGATCAAACTACCCCTATTGTGCTAGAAAGACCATTCTTAAAGACATACAAAGCTAAAATAAATTTTTATAGTGGCATGCTTACTATGGAATTTGACGATAAACTCAATGAATTTAATATTTATATGCCATAAAATATCCTGACGAAACTAACCCTATTTATTCTATTAAAGTGGTTGATAATTTAGAACAGGAAGTTTTAGAACCTGATGGAAAAAAATGCAGTGAAAGTTGCAATTGATAAGCATATGAGGAGGTGGATCAGGAGTTACCCCAAAATACTCTCTTGCAAGAAACCATTGCAGCATTGAATACGTCTCCAAAGTCACCAAAGTTAGATAAAAGTTCGCATATTATTTTACCAGTTTCTAACAAGTGACCTTTCTACGCAGGTTTCCAAATGAAGGAGGTGAGAACATGGGGCCTTGGAAACCCAATTGATGCCGATTGAGGAAGCAAACAAAAAGTCTAGCCAAAGATAATAAATAAAGGCGCTGCTTGGGAGGCAACACAAGGGTAGTTTGTTCATTTACCTTTTCATTTTATTTCGTTTTTACATTAATATTTTATGCTAAATTTGTTCTCTTCTTTGCATTTCACTTTACATTGGGTACAATGTAAATTTTAAGGGTGGGGGAGGGAATTTAGGTTAGGTTGTTTTTAAAATTTTGATTTGGGTCATGCTTCCGTTACTTTTGACAAGACAAGAAAAAAATTCGAAAAATTGAGAGAAAATTTGTGATTTTAAATTATTTTTGTTTGTGTGTACCATTTGCAAGATTCAATTAAGTCTCTGAAGAGCTCATAACATGATTGAATAAATGATCTTTTCAACTTAAAGTTAATTGGTTGAGTTATTTTCTTTAAGGATGGTAGTAACTAAATTTTGTAGACAAAAACAGTGAGATTTTGGGCCACTAAGACTGACACATCCATATCAATCTCACTACTTTCTTTCATGAGTTATTTTCTTCCTTGGGTTTTTTTGCCAGAACTTGCCAGAACTTTCGAGATCATATTGATACATGCATGCATGAACATGATTAAGGCCATCTTTGCTGCATAATTTGGCCACCTGGACCAAATAGCCTACCCTGTAATTAGTTGTCCCTTTGTTAAACCCCTTTGAGCCTTATAGCATTTTCTTCTTGAACCCATGTTACAAGCTTTAAATCTGAAAAAAAAAATTAGTGAGCAAGTAACTAAAATATCATTAAACTTCTAACATTCTTTCAAATCCAATTACATGTTTAATGTCAAAATTCAGAATTTAACATCAAAACTCCAAAATACAGGTTTGAATTTATACTTACATCTATACAACTATCCAAGTGTCATATGATTAATAAAACACAATTGAATTGGTGCAGTGTACAGGCAGCTCTTGTTCCCTGGCCTGTTGGGGCACATCCCGCGATTTACCTCCCTCACAAAGCTCTAGGGACGGGGCGGTGGGGGCCTTCAAGGTTGGGATTCAACCTTTTTTTTTTTTTTAATAAAATGCAATTGAATTGAGACAATATCACGCGCAAATAAAGTTTGAAGAAAGATAGAAAGAAGTCTTGAATTTCTTAAATTGGTCATTGATTAACTTCTTTGATTCTTCTTCAATTCAATCAATTATTGCATGGAATTTACATGGATGTGTTTTATATTAAAACTAACATGATAGATGATTATTAAACAATATCTCAATTCCCATCTTCCACCCATCCTTTTTTTTTTTTGAGGAAACGCCTCGAAAATCTATTGTACTGTCCAATCCATAATGTTGTTTGGATTTGGGCTAAAGTGATAAACAAAATAAGGGTAGCACGCATGCGTATGCATCATTGATTCCTTTTGTGGTCATCCTTTGGAAATTATTAATAAAATGACTCAGGAAAAAAAATATTTTATTAATTAAATCGTAAGACGCCATAAGCGTCTTCCTTTGAACCATCTTCTCGATGACATACTTGATTTGACTACTTAAAACGAACAGACATTCCCTAACTGGAATTGAAGGATTCCAAGGAAGTTCTTGAAGATAAAGGAGGACAAGAAAACCCACTTGAACTTTCAAAGCAAGGACATCCCTCCTAATTCACATACCTGGGAAGAATTGGGGCCCTTATGATGGAAAGCACGTTTCCAGATGGAGTAGCGCATCTCTCTCTTGAAAGCCCGCTCTAACGATAGGATCGTAGTAAATTGAGTTCTTTAGAAAGGTACGAGTGGAAGACTTTCCACATAAGAGCTACATAAAATGAGCAAGAAAGAGATAGTATGATACTTGTCTTACAAGTTTGTAAGCAATATGGAATTTTTGATCAAAAGCTTCCTCTAGAGCTCTATCCCTTGCAATATACATGTAATTTCTGCATTAAGCTTCCTCCGTAATTGTAGATGATGATGTGTATTTATAGACACCAATATTAGGTAAAAAGTTGTGTCCTAATTAATTTCTAAGTAGAAGTTGAGTCGAATAAGGAAATAATCAGAGTGGCTCATATTACTTTGCAATTGCACAGCATTATGGCTGTTGATTATTTATTTTTATTTTTTATTTTTTATTTTTTCTGAGAACCCGCAATCATAACTACAAACTTTTACCTTCCATTCAAGTTTATCCTTGACTTTCTTCTCCTGTTTAGCTCGAGCCTTCCTATATGCACTTTGGTCCTTCATCTTCGAATCTTCACAATAGAATCCTCCAAATTCCATGATTGTCCAACAACGATATAATTTAGTCCTCAACTTTTCAAATGATTGTCCAACAACGATCGGATGCAAGTATCGAAAGTTTATAATTTAGTCCTCAACTTTTCAAATGAATTTAACTCTCAAAACTTATGAATTTCTTCTTATTACTCTATTAATTCTACTTATGGGTGGCAATTTGAACCGTTAAAATCGAAAATCGCGGTTAACCGAATCGAATGGGGCAAAAAAATCGAACCTATAGTGCAATGGAACAGATATGATATTTGATTTTAATGAACCGGTTCGTGGCTGTGCGGGTATGGTATTTATGCCATCGAACCGATTACCCGCTTTAAAAAAAAACCATCATTTTATTAGGAATGACAAGGTTTAGTGAAGAGGAAGTTGACAAAGAGGTACATTTTTTATTTAAATCTTAGGTAAAACCATTTTGGATTAGGTAGTATCATTGTATTCTCTACTTACATTTCTTATTTACTATATAGAAATCAATTTTGAATTCTGACCTATGTTAATAAGAGTTGTGGGGGAGAATGAAGATTGAATATGAGTTAATGTTGAAGCTTTTGAATTATTGAGCATAAATCAAGTTACTACAATGCACAAGAATCAAGAATGAAGGATAAATTTAGTATTGTTATATTCATAATATTGTTTGTTAAATTTGTACTTTGCAATTGAAATTTGGGATAATGTTCACATTTTTGTTTGGAATATTGTGTTTTTATTTTCATTGACTCTCTTTTCATAAATTGTTTTAATAAATTTGACCGATGGACCTATAAAAAATAATTTATTTTCATGATTATTAATCGAACCGAACCGACATACGAACCGAACTGATTTACGTGGTTATGGTGCGGTTATAGTATGACACAAAATTTGACGGTTCGGTGACAGTTTTAGTCGAACCAAAATTGAACCTAAACAGAACTGTTGCCATCCCTAATTCTACTAATAGATCAAGTACAGTTCGATTAATTTTTAATTTGATTTGTATCCACCCCAATTAAGCTTTAAAATGCATTTTTTTACGCCAATTACTTTCAAGTTTTGATGGGCAGGAGAGCTACAACAATGGGCTTCCCTGTACTCCATTCCTTAGGAAGGAATGAATTCCTTCGCGCACTGCTCTCATTCGCGTCTAGCCTTGCGTACGTTGCCTTCCCTTAGCGAAGCGAATGGGCGTTATGCCGTGGGTCAGCTTCGGGGCGGAGAGGAACAAGGCGACCGATCGAGACTCTTTCAAGCTAACCTTGGTCTGCTTCTTCATTGAACAAAAGTGAGGTATGGGGATTTTCCTAAATTCATATATTTTACAATAAATAAAGTAGTTATCCGCTTAATTAATTATGTCAGTAATTTTATCCAACAACCTGCTAGTTCTTTTATGAGGCGTAAAGCGAATCTTTTCCTGAAAGCATAAGAACTGGTTTGATATTGCACGAAATCTCGGCCACTGATTTTCCATTTCCTCTTCCCTTCATTTTTTGTTTGCTACTTGTGAAGGAATCGATTAACTCTCCTAATAGAAAAAAGTTCACTCGTTGGACCTCTCACCAATAGTTCACTTGTAAGGTCTCCATAAAAGTCATACAATAGGGCACTAAACAACTAGAGATTGATTAAAAGCCAACCTGGATAAATCATTTGGATCGCACAAGAAATGGAGAGCAATAACACCGCTAATGGGGCTTTTTAAAAGAATAGTTTCGCTACCTTTATATTTTGGTTGACAGTTTTGTTAATATTCCATGATGCGCAAGCAATCTGGTCACCTATTTGAATAACACATATTCAAATCAATGACCAGATTTTATGTTTTTACACATCATTGAATGTCAAATACGATGTATAAGGAGCTTAATTCTTGAAAAAAATCATTATAAAAGATGTTTTAAATTAAAATACTTTTTTTTTTTTTTAGAATCAAACAGGAGCTTAATATGGTGAGTACCCACAATCATAAACAACCGATCCCCAAGAGCTTAATTAGCAAAAATCACACGTCACTATTTCTTCGATTCCTTGAGAATACAAATTCGAGAATCGAAACTGACTTCTATTGAAATATTACAATGAAATTTCTTTTAGTTTCTCCTACAATTTTGATAAAACTTGGAAACTCTGCAGCTCTATTTTTTGTAAATAATTCATAATCAATTCAAATCACCACAAATTTCGTGAGAAAATAGAACTGTACTGTAATCCACACATTTCATATTAACCAAGGCAAGTGTTGCATGAGACACAAGCTTATGAATCACTGAATTTCCCTAACGAGGATTTTTGTTTTTCAGATTCTTACTTTTCAAAGTGTAAATGTTCAAATTTTGGTGTTAGTTTCATCTCTAATTTTCTATTTTAAACTCTTTTTGTTCCCCATGCCTTCTATTTCCATAGAATCTACTTAGGAATTTGTTACACG